TTAAATTAAATACAATTAATTTTTTTCTGATCTTAATAATTAATTATGCATTCATAACCTTTAACTTCAGTTCAAAAAAAAATTATGCAGTCATAACCACATAGGGGATTATGGCTATCTTTTAATTTAATTAGTACTATCTTTTATTTCTCAAAAATACTAACTATCTTTAATGTTTATAGTTTTAAATAATTGATTGTGATATTTAAAAATGTTAATTTATTAAATAATATATATTAATTAACGGTTTTTAACATCCAAACTAAATAAAATCAACTTTTTTAAAAGCTATAAATAAATTTGTGTAGTCTTAAAAAACTTAAACGTGAGGACAATCACATTCAAAAAACCATATATAGTATCCCATTAGTACTGTGGATTATGCAAACTTAATTATGATACAAACCTTACATGATTACAACCCAAAAAGTGGAACCCTTCATGTTCTTAGCTCAAGAGTTATTTTACCTCTTAGCAATTTTTGGAATTGCACGGTCATAACTTTTAATTTGCGCATAATTTGTAATTAATTTTTTTCCAAACCATCTTAACGACCTTACCTTGTGCATTTCCTTGAGCAACAAGCAGTTGTGGTTTTTTAAGACCTTATTCCACAACGAAATTAAGCACATAAATTAATTTTTAGTCTACCTTAACAAATTAATTCAACTTTTAACTTTAGTGATTGATGTTTATTCCCACGTCTTTCTTCTATTGATGCATACATTGACTTTTAAGGACATGGAGCAAGTTCTTCAAGTTTTATGCTCACCCTATATTTAATATGTAACGCATTAAAAGTATTCCTTATACTTTCAATTAATAATTTTTTAAGAAAATAATTTAAAAATAATTTTTATTATTAATTTTTTTATAATTTTACATATCATTTAAATTATTAATTTTTTATTTATTTAAAACTCATAATATTAAGTATATTTACTCATTTAATAATATATAAAAATTACTTAAAAAAATTATTAAAAAAATTATACTTATACCCCCTTATTTTTTTAAAAAATTCAACCGTGCATTTTCCGCCATCAAAAAGGTAGTTTGACGACGACTTAGTCTGAG